GGTAGACTATAACACAGCACCTACCTTCTTCCAGTTGGCTCTTTCTCCCTCCTGTCTTTGGGGAGCAGGGTCAGGGCTAGGGATGCCAGTCTCCAGGTGGGACCCCCAGAATTACAGCTCATTTCCAGACTATGGAGATCAATTCCCCTGGAGAAAATGGATGCTTTGGAGGATGGACCCTATGGCACTGTACCCCACTGAGGTCCTTGTGTTTCCCAGGATCCACCCCCAGATCTCCAGGAGGCAACTTGGATCAGGCCAACCTGGACAAGGCAACTTTACCTCTCCATCCCCTGCTGGTGGCCAGTGGGGACCTGGCAACCCTGGCTAGGGTCCTTTTCCAGGGATTCCCCCCCTCCCTGTCTGCCCCTGGCACGGACTCATGCATACTGGATCCCCCTGAATGGCTGTAGTGCTTTAAAATACAATGAAAGCATGCAAAGGACCTCAGATACTAAATTAGAGCTTCTCTCCTGCACATATGTGATATGTTCCTTTGTCTTCACTGATTTCCCACTGGATCTTATATGCATGTGCTTTCTCTTTACTATTGGAGGGAGGGAGAGCCTTAAGCTTCTCTGTATCACTGGGAAAGGGGCAAGGCAAAGCCTGAGCCTCTGCCTTTATTATTCCTGGTCTCTGCGACCATACCTGCCTGCCAGTGTGTATGAGCAAAGTCATGGAGAAGTCCAACCCCTTCAGCTTTCCCCTACATCTTAATTCATTAATCTGCAAAGTGTACAAGATGTCTATGAAAGGGAATTGGGACAAGAAACCAAAGCCTTCGCCACTGCCCCCCTCATTTTCTCTGGCTGCCTTCCTTGAGCACACAAGAGTCCACGTTCAGCTATGTGATTGCGATTCCTGATTGGGAGAAGTTATATTCTGGACAAACCAGCAGGCCTACAAAAATCTAGTAGAAAAAGAACAGCTGCCAAACAGTGACATATTGCCAGATTCTTAATTCTCTCCCACCCTTTCTGGGGAAGCTTTGGCCTGAGGACAGCAGTGTGCCAATTTTTTTGTACCATTCCATTTTATTCCAGGTAAATGTAAGGAGAGCAAATCAGGCTCCTACCTTGAGGCATACATGTTTCCAATAGTTGGTTCTAATATTTATGCACAAAGTCATACATCTCTTGTGGACCAGAAGAAAAAGTCTAACACTATGTGGTAGCATTTTAAATTCATTTGTAAATTGGGGGTTAATATGATTTCCATTTCTTTCCTTTTCATGCATGGCATCCATGGCTGTTCTGCTGGAGAAAAAAAGTCTTGAGGACTGGGGAAAGGGTTGCATAAATGTTTGGCATTGCCTCAATGTCTGAAGAAATCTTGATATTAAAGAAAGCAATTTATTAGCTTGCTTAGGCTTCCATGGGAAATGTGCCTTTTCAGAATTATTTTTTCAAGTTCTATGGGAAGGGTAGTAGTCCATGGTCAAATGCAATACAGAAAGTTTTTATAAAGAGGTTTATTATTGCAGGCTGAAATATGTTTATTGGTTGTTATTCCAGTTTCTTCTGCACTTAATTTTGGTCAACACACAATTGCTTTGAGAACTGCTTCTCGTGTTAAAATTTCACAGCCTGGGAAAGTTCCAAGACGTTAGCTCCTGTTTGTATGCTACAGAAATATTGGGCCTGCCACATATTTTCACAGTCAACACAAGAATGTGTGAGAATGAAGAGGCTACATGTGTTTATTTCAGCCCATGTTAACAGCAAGAAATATACCATCATGAGTTCTACCAATTGCACTGAACATGTAGTGCAATAAATGCATGTCCCTGTTCCATGGACTTTGCCTTGGTAGACACAGTGGGCTCAGTAATCCACATAATCTCAGTCAAAAACTCATGACATCCCTTTAAGAAAACCCCTGTCAGCCTTACCCCTCCCCCTCAGTCATAGTCATAATGGACCCTGGCTGACTCATGGGGAAGAATTAGGAGGTACAATGTATTGCTCCACTCTTCAGACTGCAGAAGGGAAGATTTACCCTTTTAAAATGTTCCTTTGAACAGAAACTCCCATGCAACTGGAAGACTACCACAGCAGGGAGAAGGGGTCTCACCTCCTCTCTTTCCTTGCTATGTAGGCATCCCAGGTTTGAATCCCCACACTACCGTGGAAGCTTGTTGGGTGACTTTGGACCATTCACCTACTCTCAGTCTAGCCTACCACACAGGTTTGTTGCAAAAATGAAATGAAGGAGAGGAAAAAATATAAGCCATTGTGGGTCCCAACTGGAAAGAAAGGCAGGATATAAGTGAAGAAAATGAATAAATTCCAAAATGTGAACTTCACCTGCCTCTGAAGTAGAGCAGTCTACCTACTGCATTTTTAATCTCACTATTTCGCTTAGAAGCTTTAAGAGGCCCACATGGTTCTCCCATCCCCCATTTTACCATCATATTCTCCTGTGTATGTGAACCTGGCCTAGTCTTTTGATAGGACTGTTACAGAACTTATTGGATTAAGCACGCAAAGCACTGAGAGCACTTGAAAATGCAATATAAGTGATAAGTAAACTGATGTAAAATCACCATTATCATTATTTAATAATGAATATGATTACTTCTCTGACTGTAAAAATACAACTTGGGGAGAATAACTACATGTAATCAAGGGCTGATTGAGATTACTCTACAAGTTGGTGTGAATGAATGTTTAGTGCGTGGTAAATTGGACATGCAACTGTTTCACCATACACCCTGATCCCTGTTTTTCTGAACTGCTGAACTACTTTTGGAAGCCTTAGGAATGGTATGGTAAAACAAGTGCCAAGTCCTCCTAAACAAAATATCACTTGGGTCAAGCACTTGTTCAATTGCTTTGTTGTGCAAGTGCATCCAGTTTCAGACTCTCTTCTGCTGACGCTGCTATTATTGGGGGGTTGGTTATCCATAAACAGATTTTTTCCCTAAACTAAGGCCCTGGTCACACAGGCCAGATAACGTGGGGGGGGGCGTGGCTGTTTGCCCCAGATCAAAATAAAGTGCGGTAGCGCCTGATCACACGGTCCCCCGAGTCTCCGTGCTTAGGCTGTTAGCTGGCAATCACACAGCGATGCTGCAGAGTGGCAAAGAAGTGGCGTGATCACAGAAGTGTTTCACGTTTGTGCGCATGTGCAGTTCTGCGGAGCAGCACTGCTTTCAGTTTCATGTTTGTGCACATGCGCTTATGAAAAACATCTGGTTTGTGATGGGACAGGCGGCGGATGCCATGGGATACTAGTGCTCCCGCGATCAGACGCCCGCCTGTGCCGCACGTTTTCCAGATACTAGTGCACTTTTCTTGGTACTTTTTAACTCCACATCTTCGGTGGGATGCCACGGGTTGGCCACGGGTGTGCTATGCTTCCCAGATGTTGTAGTGTGACCGTGCCCTGAAAATCCGCCCAACATTCATGCCTTTCATGCGGCAAATTCTCCGTGTGACCGGGGCCTAAGTTTCTTTTCCCATCAAACCTGGGGTTTCAGAACCCTAAATGGTAGCTATGGCCAGTCATGTTGTCCAGTTTTGTCTATCTACACAGGGAGGAAGATTCAGCCCTTGAATATTAGGTATGGTGATGTATAGTCTGAATCACATGCTAACAAACTCAGATTAGGTGTTCATACTGTGTGTGAATCAATGCAGTTATCAATCATTATCAAGGATAGAGTTACTATAAACAAAGTAAAATACAGTGATGAATATAGCCTAATTTACTTCACTTGCTTAAGCGATATTACTCATTTAACCTATAGGCTTTGAGTAATATGGCCTAATTTAAGGCCTAATGTACTGGTGGACCCTGCTCTGTCAAGATGCTTTTCATCCATGGAAAAATGAAGTAAAATGGTTTTGGGACTGTCTGAAAAGAAGTGGGACATTTCACCCCATACCACTTATACTAGATAACCCCATAATTAGCTAAGTTTACTTTTTTTTTTAGAAAAAGAAGGATCGGTTCACAAAATACATTTTTTTGGCCATAAAAGTGCTGCTGATTGTCCCCAGCTACATACTCTGTAGAGATGTGTGAACCTAATATTCAGCAGGAATTCCTGCCATTGAAGAAGCTAAAAAGTGGCAGCCACTACAATCTTAATATTAATCGGTGCTGCTAAGTGTTAATGCTTTATGCTTTCTTAGAGCTTATTCCAGCATTATATAGACATGGGTGAACATTACAGCAGAAGTGAACGACTTTCACTTTTTTTGCTTCTGCTGTAATGCATAAAATGGTGCTCTCTGACCCTGCATGTCCTGACCTGGATGGCCCAGGCTAGCCCGATCTCATCTGCCTTTGGAAGCTAAGCAGGGTTGGCCTTGGTTAGTACTTAGGTGGGAGACCACTAAGGAAGTCCAGAGAGAAGATACAGAGCCTTGAAAGACCTGTGGGGTCACCATAAGTCTGCTGTGACTTGAGGGCACTTTCCACCTCTGATCCAACCATTTATGCAATGGTAGGGTTGCCAGGTTGCCACTGACCAGCAGCAGGGGATGGGGAGGGGGGTTAGGATTGCCAGATCCAGGTTGGGAAACTCCTGGACATTTGGGAATGGAGCCTGGGGAGGACGAGACCCCAGCAGCTTACAATACCATAGAGTCCACCTTCCAAAGCATCTATTTTCTCCAGGTGAACTGATCTCTGTTGTCTGAAGATGAGCTGTAATTCCAGGGGATCTCCAGGTCTCACCTGGAGGCTGGTATCCCTAGCTATGGGGCACCAAGAGTCTTATGGACCCAATGTGGGTGATAGTTTTGTCAACTCCCACTTTCCACTGAAAGTTCAAGAAAACAGAACTATGATTCACTCTCGCTTCAGCTTTCCCAAGCTCTCTGTAATGTTTGAATTGGCTCTGATGTTACTCCCCCATCCAAGATATGACTATTACTCCTCTTGCAGCTGCTCAGTAATGTCGTTACTTATTTGATTCTTGACCCATGCAGCTTCTCCTAGAACAGAACAAAATTTCTCACACCTTCAATTCCCACTTATTTTGATAGCATCAGAAGAGCAATAAAGCCCTGAATTGAAATAGCAACAGCCTCCTCAGTTGGCGCATTACTCCTGGTCAAGAGTTGAAGCATGTAAGCAGGACAGTGTGGTGCCCACTCCTAATAAATGTGAAATGTAAGTCTTCTACTAATCCAACACTTTGTAAACCTTGATTGATATGGAATGAAAATAGTCACCTGCAAGATTCGTCTCTGCTGAATGAGATATTATTCATCTCTGCTGAATGAGAGCCAGTTTGGTGTAGTGGTTTGGAGCCTGGACTCTAATCTGGGAGAACTGGATTTGATTCCCCACTCCTCCACATGCAGCTGCTGGTGTGACCTTGGGTCAGTTACAAGTTCTTTCAGAGCTGTTCTCTCACAAGCAGATCTCAAAAGAACTCTCTCACCCCACCTATCTCACAGGATGCCTGTTGTGGGGAGGGGAAGGGAAAGGAGATTGTAAAATGCTCTGAGACTCGTTTGGGTAGTGAAGGGTGGGGTCTAAATCCAATCTCTTCTCTAATGGCATGTTTTGAAGGATATTCAAGTTAAATTTAATCATGGCATCCTCTTGGCCTGTTTGGAAGGAAAACCAGCTTTGGGTAGCTAAAGGCACATGCTCACGTACTGACAGCAACAGCGTTTCTTCTTGCTAACAAGATAAACAGCTCAAAGTAGCAAGTACCCAACGGACTGCGTTAGACACACCTATTTAGCAAGGATCTGTCTTGTATGCTCCCTCAGCACTCTGTCTAGACATGATTCAGTCAGACTCCTTTTCCAATATAAGGAACCATGATAATCATACTATTAAACAGAACATATCTTATACTTTGTAAACATCACCATGTATCAGGCTGCAACTGGTAATTCTCCTTGCGTTAGTTCAGTGGACGGTTGATAAGCGATGTGAGAGGGATGCCTCCCAAACATACCATTTTCATAGCTATGCTTCTGGTTGCCACTGCAGGTGTCCATACCCGTGGTGACTACAGCTAACATTTTGAAACTTGTGACACAAAAGTTGTGTCAGGCCAGGGCGCTGAATGAATGTGAATGTGAGGAGGTAGAAAATAATCAGGATTATGGTAGCAGGGCCTGTCCTCCCTGGTTTGCACATCCAGCAAAAGGTGTGAACAGAGTTGTACAAATGCAAGCATTTAGACTCTGTATGCATAATCAGGGACTTTACCTGTAGTAGCAGGGCTTCTGATCACATGGGGAACCTTACATGAATACCACTGTAATTCTGTACAGTTCTATCTGGAAACATATTCCTAGAAATCAACATTATCTATAGACTAGGCTAGCCTGATAGATTTGATTGGATCAACTTATTGGAAGGGAGGAGGAGGAGGAGCTTTAGAGCACTATTTCCACATTCCTTAGATATTTATGCCATGCGTTTTTTGTTCATCAGGGGCCAAAAGCAGCTCACAACATCACTCTCCTCTATTCCATTACAACCCTGTGAGGTATTTTAGGCTGACAGAGAGTGACTGGGCCAAATTCAGTGAGCTTCCGTAGCAGAGTGGGGAATTGGATCTGGGAATCCTTACACGCTAACCAGTACACTGCACTATATGAATATGTATGGAGACTCTCTCAAATTAACTGGCCACCAGCCATGAACATATGAAGCAGCCTTGTGCCAGCTAGGGTTTTCAACCTCCAGGTGGGGGTGGAGGTCATCTGGAATTCCAGCTGACCTCCAGGCAGCAAAGATCAGTTCCCCTGGAGAAAATGGCCACTTTGGAGGGTGGACAATTTGGCATTATACCCTGTTCATGTCCCGCCCCTTCCCAAACCTTTCCCTCCCCAGGCTCTACCCTCAATTTTCCAGGTATTTCCCAAGGGGGAGTTGGCAACTCTATATCCCGCTGAGTCTTCATGCTCAGTATTTACTGACACAGGCAGTGGCTCCCAGATTCTTAGGCTGAGAAATGCCTTTCCCAACACCTTGCCTAACACTCCTTATAATTCGTATAATGAATTTGATTTTCTTGATACTAATAACAATGTATTCTTCGAGATATGCACTGAGCATTTTAAAAACATTCTTAAACATTGCAGCTAAAATGCTACACATTAAAAAAAGTCAAAGGTAAACAGATAATTCATGACATTTCTGAACATAGGTAGTATTATCTAATAATACACTGAGTGTATTTTTTTTTCACCAAATGGAATTCATTTCTGACAGCCTAATGACTTTCTGTCTTCTTTCTAAGTGCATAAATGTGTTCTGAAAAGGGCATTATAAACTCAGACAATGGGGAGTTTGGTTATAGCCAGAGTAGGGTTTAGGGGGGGGCGTGGGTTGGGGCTTGAATTTTTCAGGCTTTTCTGTTTGTGTTTTTAAGGGGCCCTATTATTTCCATGTTTCCTAAAGTTATGGGTGACTGTATTTATGGGTTCCCTTTCTCCCCCTCTCCTTTTAACATGTAGATTTATGAGGAATCAAAGATGAATTTGGAGCAGGAGAGGCCTTTTGTCTGCAGTGCCCCGGGCTGCTCACAGGTGAGTTGAGTTGGCAGGAATATAAACCAAAGTCTAGCTCTAGCCTGCATAGTACCTCCTGATATATTAACGTGTATTTAAGTTTAAAAATGTTTTCTTTTTTAAAAAAGCCGTTTTCCACAACATATAGAAAACTTTAAATTTTTGTTATTTTTTTCAGATAAGATACAAATATTTTTGTCCCTCAGATTATAGGCAAGGATGTACTCTGAAACATTTTAAAGGCTTCAGAGGTTTACTCCCACCTGTACCTCCTTCAAGGGTTCAGTGCCCATCTGAGAAATTTGGAAAAGAGCAAGAGTCCAGTAGCACCTTAAAGACTAACAGAAAAACTGCTGAAGTGAGCAGTGACTCATGAAAGCTCATCCCCTGCCACAAATTTTGGTAGTCTTTAAGGTTCTACTGGACTCTTGCTCTTTTCCACTGCTACAGGCAGACTAACATGGCTACCCATCTTGATCTACCTCCATGGAAGGCATCTGAGAGCGGACTCACTCACAGGGTTGCCAGCTCCAGGTTGGGAAATACCTGGAGATTTTTTGGGGGGAGAGACTGAGGAGGGCGGGGCCTGGGCATAATGCCATAGAGTCTAACTTCCAAAGTGGCCATTTTCACCAGGTGAACTGATCTCTGCTGCCTGGAAATTAGTTGTAATAGTGAGAGATCTCCAGCCACCACCTGGAGGTTGGCAACCCTACTCACTCATGCAGTTTCATCTCTTTAAATCCAGAAGTCATCACAGGTAGAACTTTCATAACAGCCAGGGCTCTTTTTGTAGAAAAAGCCCAGCAGGAACTCATTAGCATAATAGGCCACACCCAGCAGCAGAAACTCATTAGCATATTAGGCCATGCCCCCTGACTGCACCACTCATTAGCATATTAGGCCGCATTCCCATGTTACCAGAAGTGTGCTCATCCAGCCACACCCACCTTTTTCTGTTTACCTTGTTTGTTGTCAAAACCCAGGGCTTTTTTTGTAGCAGGAACTCCTTTGCATGTTAGGCCACACACCCCTAATGTAGCCAATCCTAATGAGATCCTGCTGTTGGGTGTGGCCTGTTATGCTAATGAGTTCCTGCTGGGCGTGGCCAACTTGGGAGCCAGCCGGAACTCCGTTCCTGTGCCTTCCTGTCCAAAAATAGCCCTGCATAACACCACACTTCCATTTCAAAAGCAAACCTTTCCAGTAGACTAAATTCAGAAGCACATAAATATACCATCAGGTCTTGAATGATCAAGTTCTACCAAATCCTTTCAAATGGTGCAGTAGCGAGTACCAAGAGCCTATCAACCACACAAGGTCCTCTTGATGCACACTGTCATGATGTTGTATGAACAGAAGCAAAACGCATATTTACTGTGTGCATATGGCTCTGGTACATTCAAATTGACCACTAGATTTTTCAGGGTTTGTATATGTGCATGATAAATATGTCTGTTGCCCTTGTTCCCACAGCATGGCAACTGTGAATATCGGGAGAATGGTGGGTAGTGTGTGCTCCCAATACATATGGTTGGCAGGCTGCCTGTGCATATTATTGTAGTGTCTGAAAAAGGGCTATACAGACTTGTGTGAAAGATAATCTCCCTTCAGTTTAGAGTCAGTTTGTCAATTACATATGCCCTTGGCAAACACCTGACAGAAAGACTGGGTCCTTCTTCTCAGATCTCCAAAACAGACTAAAAACATAAGAGGAGATTCTGCCTGTGTGCAGAATGTGCTTTTACTCTAAGTCTGCTATTCATTATATATTTTTTATTTTTATGTATTCATATGGAATACATAAATATGAACATCGGGGACATACATTTTAATATTATTGTACTGGATGATACTGCCAATAGTCTCTTTATTCTAGCTGCCTTAACCTCATAAATTCAGAAGGTGCTGTAAACATATGTTACATTTGCATTCATTAAAATAAACTTAAAACTACTGAGCTCAAAACTACTGAACACTTGTGCTCATACCTTCTTTTGTGACTTGATTTTGTTTCAATAACATTTCTCCCATTCTTGAAGGAAGCTGGGTATGGTTTTCCCATTCCCCTGTCCAGATTGTATTATTTCTGTTTGCATCACATATCAAAGCAAACACACTCAAATGGTGATTTTTAAGCTCTAGGGAACTTTGGACAAGGCCAGGGAAGCTCTAATGCTTTTTGATGATGGCTAGAGTTGCTTGGGAAATTCTTGGAGATTTAGGGTAAGTGCTTGGGGGTGCAGAGGTTGGAGAGATGAGAATGCTCAGCAGCAATGTTTAGGGTTGCCAAGTCCTTCCTGGCCACCAGCAGGGGATGGGGGTAGGGTTGCCAAATCCAAGTAGGGAAACTCCTGAAGACTTGGAGATTGAGCCTGGGGAGGACAGGGTACAATACCACAGAGTCCACCTTTCAAAGAATAATTTTTTTCTCTAGAGGGGTGACCAGAAAGGAATAGTCAGTGGAGAGAGTGATTCAGCAAATGTTTCACTGATAGGCAGTCTGTAACCACTTATTTCCTTTATTTTACTTTTTGATAAAATTTATACTCCACCATTCTGTCCTCATTAGGCTGCCAAGATGGCTAATGATTAAAAACATACATAATACATATACAGCGAAGACGGAGGTCCTGGGCCTGAGTCGGAACGGTCTGGGGTTGGGGCTCCCTCTCCCGACCTTCGATGGGGTGCCTTTGGTGCCTGCGTCGGAGGTTAGGAGTTTGGGGGTGCTCCTGGATGCCTCCTTAACAATGGAGGCCCAGGTAGCAGCCACTGCCAGGTCTGCTTTTTATCATCTGAGGCAGGCTCGGCAGTTGGCCCCCTTCCTCGATCGTGAGGACCTGGCTACAGTGACCCATGCGACGGTCACCTCAAGACTAGACTACTGTAACGCTCTCTACATGGGGCTGCCTTTGTCGTTGACCCGGAAGCTGCAGCTGGTGCAGAATGTGGCGGCTAGGCTGCTGTTGGGCCTCCCCAGGTGGGAGCACATCAAGCCTGGGTTGAAGGCACTGCACTGGCTGCCAATAGCATACCGAGTCCGCTTCAAAGTGCTGGTGCTCACCTTTAAAGCCCTATATGGCCTGGGTCCGACCTACCTGAGGGACCGCCTTTCCCCGTATATGCCCCCAAGAGCACTTCGGTCAGGGACCCAGAACCGTTTGGTGGTTCCGGGTCCCCGAGAGGCACAGTACGCTGCAACAAGGACTAGATCCTTCTCAGTGGCGGCCCCTACCTGGTGGAATGAGCTCCCGGAGGAGATCAGGGCCCTGCGGGACCTTGTGCAGTTCCGCAGGGCCTGCAAGATGGAGCTCTTCCGCCAGGCTTTCATGTAGGGGCCGCCGCTTCCACCACCTCCACCGATGGCGGAAATACCATCTGACTGGAAGTATCCGTGATATCCCGGCAGCCATGTGAACCACGCGGCAGCAAGACCATCCGATTGGCTTGGACCACCATTGGACGATAGTAACAACTCAGACCATCTTGGAAATTTAAAGCACTTTATTTGTAACAGGACATTATTGATTGTGATCTGTGATTTTATTGGATTTTATTGTTTTTATGAATGGGTTTATCCCCTTGTAAGCCGCCCTGAGCCCGCTTGCGGGGAGGGCGGGGTAAAAATACCTAAAATAAAGAAATAATAAATAAACAAACAATAAAGCACAACTTAAAAACCATTATAACCAAACAAAAGCACATCATAAAATCAATTAAAAACAAGTTAAAATTAGGGCTGTCAAGCCTCCAATCTAGATGGCTTCCCTGCCCCTGAATTCCTGTCAAAATGAAAAAAATAAATTAAAAAATTTTAAAAAACCCACTGAAGTCCCCCAAGCAATGACACTGCAACAGCGGTGCATCTAGGAATAGGTGGAAACGCTATGGTAAGTACACTATGGTATTCCCCAGAAGTGACATCATCATGCTAGTGATGCTAACCCCCAATACCATGCTCAGTCTAACTAAAATGTACATACAAAAACATAAAAACAACTATGAAAACATAGGTCAGGAAGAGTACTTAGCTGAACTCAACATAATGGTTTCCCCTGGGTGTGGTGCCCTCCCATACCTTACTTCACTATGCTCCACTGATGAAATATTTAATTTTCTCCAAGCAAGGTAAAGGGCTTCTTGTGTCTTTGATGAATAGTTGACAAGACCCCTCTCTCCTGGCCTGTCATTGCTAGTGGTGCTGTTTTTAGTTTTACTCTTTTTATTGTTGTCATTGTTATTTTATGTTTTTTATTCTTACTGGAAATGTTTATCAAAAGTCTAGCTTTTTTGTTGATATAATGGTGGAACCTAAATATGTAAAACATACAAATAAATGAATTTGAGCATTTTGAGAGGAAGATCTTTAATTTGTATCTACAAGGAGTGTGGGTAGGAGTGTAGTCTGAATTTAAGCTAAAAGAGAGGTTGAATGAGAGTGAAGAACAAATTCTATTAAAAACCTTGGCATATTAATGCTAGAGATGCTTGGACAGCCATCAGTTCAGCTCACTTCCCATTCACCAGTGCTTATCAGGCAGCTGATTAATCATTGGGCTGTTCGCAACTTGTTCATGTGTATTCACTGAATACTTCCTGCCATCAGAAACTGACTCCTAGGTGATAAGGGAGTGACTAGGATCTGGCTTCTGATCTCTTGCTGGGTAAACTTTGTACCCATCAAAGTTTTTTTGGGGGGGAGGGGAAGATCAGCTGGAAGTTGGGTTCTTTTGACCTTCCACCCTGGAAACTTTGCTGTCTCCCAGATTTGTGAAATGCAATAAAATTAGTGGTGAGGAGGGTATGGTGATTAGAAGCCCAGCTGGAAAAGGATAAGCTGGAAGAGGAGGCTTGGTGGCAGATTTGGGTTTCACCTCCATTTAATGTAAAAAGAACTCTAAAATACAGCCTATTGCTCAACAGCATTATATATTTAGGGGCAGGGAATGAACAATAAAATAGAAATGTATTCAGTGATAAGTGAAGTGATATGACTTATGTTTGATGCCTGGACTTGGAAAATAGTATGGAGGTACTGGGAGTACTCTCAAGAAATTTAGTGTAGACTGATATCTCTTGTTTTTTCCAGAGGGGGAAAAATTGGATTAACTATAGGGTTGCCAGCTCTGGGTAGGGAAATACCAGGAGATTGGGGGGGGGGGGTTGGGAGCCGGGGGGGGGGCAAGGACCTCAGTAGGGTATAATGTCATAGACTCCACCTTCCAAGGCAGCCATTTTCTCCAGGGGAGCTGATCTCTGTAGAACAGAGATCAATTATAATAGTGGGAGATCTCCAGGTAATTAATGACTATGGCCCCGGTCACACGGGCAGGAAACTGCGGGGGAGAAGCGTGGCTGTTTGCCCTGGGGCAAACTACTGTGCAGTTACTCGATCAGACCTCCCGTGGAGGTCCTGTGGAGGTACCGTGGAGGTTCCATGGCAAGGGAAAGGTGCTGATCACAGGACAAGCCGGCGCGCAATGAAGAAGCGCGCGCTGCGGCAAACTGTTTTTTTTGTGTGTACACGACGAATGCGCATGCTCCGTTGGGTGCATGTGCGCATCCACAGAGACGTGGACAAAAAACCCCACCTTATTTGCAAGGGGACATGGGCGGGCGCCGGATGCCACCGGAAACGCGATCAGACGCCCGCCCTTGCCCCGCAGTTTCCGGAAACTAGTACCTCCGAGGTATTAGTTTTTTGCCACGCAGTTTCAGCTGGAAGCCTCGGTTGTGCCACGGGAGTGCTACACTTCCCAGATGTGCTGGTGAGATCGCGCCCGGAAACTCCGCCTGTTTTCCGTCTCACTTGTGTGGCTTCTGTTCCGTGTGACCGCAGCCTATGGTATACTAATTCTAAAGGGACTTTGTTATATTTATGGCATTACAAACCTTTGAAAATTAGACAATATATGGAACAGCTGATGTTTATTCATTTAAAACATTTATAAGACTGCCTTTCTTCCAAATAACTGGTACTCAAGGTAGGAAAGGCAAATTGTGGGATTAATACAATGAACATGAGATAGGTTTCAAATATATTTGGACATGTAGGTATTTTGGGAGGGTATTATGATTAATATAAGAAGTATTCCCCATTACAAGCTGCCATTTCCATAATTAGTATTGCTTTTAAAATATATCAAGGGTGTAGTAAAAAGCAAAAAAAAGAAGAAGCAAAAGTTAGTTGGCAGTTTAAGAACTGTTTGAATACTGGTAATAAAAATAAGAAATAACACAAACTCTCCAAACGAGAAGAATGGCAAAGGAGAATCTTGTAAAAAGTGTAGAATGGTAAAATGATGCTAGTATAACTCTGAGGAAGGGGGAAGAATTAATCAGAATTTGTTACTTGGTATTGGAAGAGTTGGTAAATTTTAGATTAGACTTAGTAAATTTTAGAATAAGATGAAGTTATGCAAACATGTGGAATAAAAACATTATTTTTTGTTTATAAGAAAATAACAAGGACTGCCTTTTTCTATTTATGGTTCTGGTTGCTTTTTAACTGTAGTATTTTTCAAATTTATAACAATTTTTTTTAAAAAAATCACCCTTTTAGGTTGTCTACTTAGCTGTGTTCTGTCATTTGTACTTCAGACTTGGACAAAAAAAATTCCTCTGAAAATAAGATTATTCACATGGGCAAAATCACATTTTACATTATGAGTTACTTTAGAATTCCCAAGTGCAGTGATGTTTGGTAAATAATTAATGCATGCATGATAAACTAGGCAAAATTGTATGCCAAACCAGGTAATGATAAACCAGCATAATCATATATGTGTGAACTGGTCCTTCTGTTCAGGATGGATCAGATTATATATATGGTATGATACATTCTCTCTTCTCAATCAAGATTCTTATAGCAAACACTATGTATACTTCTATATAGTGACCATTTTTATGAAGGCACAAATATGTTCAAATTGTGGCAGCAGGCAGCTTCAGCAGCTGAAGTGCATAACTATGTGAAGCAACAGGGTAACATAAAAAAAAACTTTTTGCTTAACCCTTGAGTGGATATTTAGTCTGGAGTACGATTCTGAAAATACTCTCGTAAACATGCTCTCAAAGAAAACGCAGATTCTCTTCCATTCAATTACACTTCAACCACCCTGCCTGCGAGTGCTGAATCTGGACCAAATTGGTAATTTTCACCAATTCTTCTGTCCCACTCCAGACCCCCTTCCCCATGTTGTTCCTCAGGGGCCCTTATCACCAGGAGTAGTTTTGTATGGAGATTGGTGAGTTGCTATGGGCAGGGAGGAGGGAGCCAGGAAACTGTTGTTGTGTGAATGTGATCCGGATCCATCCCTGTGAGCAGAAGTGTTGGTAAATTCTTCTGAATCAACCAATCCACTACAATAGATTGCTTGTGAGGACAAGCCCCACAGTGAGAAAAAAATATCCTTAATCCTACAATAAAGAGAATTGAATCAAGTACTGTTGAATTTTACGAGTAGGGAAGAAAACTGCTTTTAGCTAGTCTGACAGATAATTATGTTAATTGTTTTTGAAAAATTTCCCAAAAGGCAACAGCCATAAAACATTTATGCTGTATATGTCAGTTAAAAAGATTTTTTAAAAATCATAGATATTAATAGTATTTTAAAAAATCACAGTCAAGCCTAATTCCCCTCAGGGATATTTTATAAAACATTAAGATTATCTACAGATGATTATAAATAATTCCTGTAAGTTTGTATACCCAGACAATTGTAAATGAAGATAATGTAGATAAGAGCAAAATGAGTATACTGGAAAGGAAGGAGGAGATGCTCTTCCATGTGCTTTTATTATTATCATTATAGAAAATAAGTTCCCTTCAACAATATATGAAGATTCCTTTATACTTGCATATATCATTAGACTCTAGCCTTTCCCACACCCTTTCCATGTCATCTTAATGGCTGGAACAATCTCTTAAAGGAAGAAAAGAATTTGTCCTTTGCCAGAAATATATTTCAGAACTTAATCCTTATTTTCCTTTGTGTTTGCCTGACAGCGTTTTCCGACAGAGGATCATCTGATGATTCACAGGCACAAACATGAAATGACTTTGAAATTTCCTTCACTCAAAACAGATAACATGTTATCAGGTAAGAAGACAAGAGCAGGAAATGCAAATCACTTGCCAGTTTTGATCTCTAGAGGATAAACAAAGCACTTACTAGTGGTCCAATGATGTTCTTACAGTGTGGAAACCACTTGTGCCTTATGCTATGGCCAGGTCAATACTTTCCTCAGTGGGAAGCAAAGGAGAAATAAAAGAAGTAGCCTGTGTTTGATAAGTATTGAAATGAATTTAAGAAGATAAAATAATTTGGATCACCCATCAACAAAGTAGGTATCTGGACTAACATGTATGTTGTTTCTGGAGTTGCCAGCTAGCCTGGAGAAAAATGTCCTGTTTTTAAAATAGAAACTTAATGGGTAGAAATGGGCAGTTGAAACTTTTCATGGCATTGGAGGTATATAACATCGCTTCAAGTCTATTAACCTTTTTTCTCTAGGGCAGTTGGCAACCCTAGGCCCTGTTCATACGAGGCATTTTGTGCCGGGAGGGGGATGGAACGGGGGCGGAGCAAACGGGCGCGATCCCACGGCAACATCTGGGAATCGTTGCCTGCCCGTCCCTGATCTGTCCCTACCACCGAAAACGCGCACTAAAAAAGAACCACCTACTTAGGTGGTTCTTTCCAGTAGAGCGCCTCAAGCTGGGCCGTGAGATCAGCCGGCGCGTCCTTGCGCCGCCGCATCCCAGCCCCCGGCCGTACTGCGCATGCTCGGGCATGCGCAGTTTGGCAGACTCCCCCTCCCATCAGACTCTTCCTCCCCGGCATCTGATCGTGCCGGGGAGCGCCGCGCCGCGGCTCGGGGGATCCGTGGGATCCCACCGCGGCGTCTCAACTTTGGTGCGGCTCAGATTAGCCGCAGTTCAGCCGTCCTTTTCCCTGCCATGTGGCAGGGACCCTAGTTGTGTTTTTATTTGACAAAATGCAACCCTGAAGGTTGCAAACTAAAGAAGAAAACCACCAAAAGCTAAGCAGGATTCTTGAATGTTTCTCTTCATGCAGTTTTTTAGATAAAAATCACTGGATGTGTCCCCACACACACATTTCTGCTTTTTGCCCTGCATTTAAAAAAAAATAAATACAGAATCTTTGCTCTTTTCTGTTTTAATTTCACTCTTTATAACTACATTTTTTCTGAACAGAATGATATTTGTTTCCCTTAACCTCTCTGTATCTAATCACTTGCCCTCCATTGTTGCTATAACAGAGAGAGAACATCTGGTGCTTAAAATATAGGGTAATCGGACCAATAATAAAACTTCAGAGATTTCCCCTACTTCATGTTCCCAAATGTCACAAGAAGGTTTCATCCAGTTAGGGCTTGGAGGTAGAGCATGACAAAGGTCCCAAGTTTAGTCCCTAGCATCTCTAGTTTAAAATGGTACAATTTGGGGAAGATCTTGTTCTGCATGAACTCTTGGAGAGCTGCCGCCGCCAAGACAAGTAGACAGTGCTGAGCTAGATGATTGGACTTGGGATAAAACAGCTGCATATGATAAATTGGGGACAGAGACAGGATGGCTCACATTTACGGTTTGTGTTATAATCCTGGTGGTCCTGCCTTTTCAAGGCTCTTTGGGGATACTAGTTCTTCCATTACAGAGCAAAGGCTTCAAAGTAAGCAACACTTAAAGGATAGGATATTTGTATGACTGCTCCTTTCCCTATAAACTCTAGACCAGGGGTGTCAAACATCTATCAGGCCTGCAATGGAAACTGGCTGTCTTCTTCTTCTTCCAGTTCTGCTGCTGCTGCTGTGTCATCGTAGGTTTGCAGCTTACAGATACACACCAGAACAGCATACTCAAACAGTAGAGACATTTTGATGTAATAATTCAGAGGAAGAGGTGTCAGTTATCAGACACTGTTAAATAAACAAAATATCGCAAGAGTGCTACTGTTTTAAGCCGGTAGCGACAGGTTGGGGGCGGGGGGGCGACGCTTGCCAGATGTTGCCATCTGATCGCGCCGGTTTAATCTGCCCTCAACCCGTCTGTTTTGCGGGGCAAATCCTCCCGTGTGACCGGGGCCTTAGCCATTCATTGCAGATTAGGACACTTTAGGAAACAGTAAGTACGAGTGCCATCCTGAGCAGAGTTATACCCCTCTAAAGCAGTTGACTTATGTAGGTTTAGAAAGGTGTAACCACTAGTTCACAACTGCTCCAGCTTCTCCATTCTCCAGCTATCAACCTTTGCTTGGCTAGGGCTCTGGCTTCCCATCTCCCTGAGTCAGAGCCGCTACAACATCTCAGTTTCTTCTAGATGAACTCCCAGTCCTAATAGTTAGTTTACAATCAGGAGTACCAGCTCCACCAGAACACCATGAGAATGATTGTGAAGGTTCTTCTCTGGTTCAAGAATTCTTTAAGGAGGTGAGTTGGCCTTTGGAGAGTTCGTAGGGATGGAATCTAACTTGCAACGGCACACCAGAGGACATTCTGCATAGCTGCTGACACTTGTTTAAAAGAAGCTAGCAGAGGAAGCAACTTGGAACCAGAGTAATAAGAATCCTTGTAACACTCTCTTTAATTGTTTATATTGTAGATGTTGTGTAATCTGTTAGCCATGTCACTGACTTTTAAAAATCATTAAGAGAATAATTTTGCTGAGATTTTGCTGGGGATAACCGCAGACTGTGCTATATGTTCTGCCCTGCCAGAGGCAAATTGGGACTCCATCCCCTGAACTGTAAGAAAAGATGCTTAACACACAAGTTCCCTTCCCAAGCCACCTGGGTGAGGAAAAGCACAGTGGAGGAGGTACCAATGTAGCCTAGGGGCTTGACTTACTCCCGTTCGTCAGGAACATGGAAGTAACATGATGAAACATGCCTTCACTTCCTGGACCTGCAAGGTTGGAAGGGGGTATGAATGTGCTGTGGCTGAGGTGATAAATTACCTTGAACTGATCCTTACTATGGTTCTAATTGCTTCTCTTGTAGGTTCTTGGCTGTCCCCCCCCCCTGAATTTTTCCTTTTAAAAATAGATTCCAAGTAGGGGGGAGCAGAGGCAAAGTGTCTGTTGGAAGATTAGCTTTAGGGTGCTGATTTGGATTACTCATCCCTTCTTCTAAGACCATGTGCCAAAAAGCCACAGGTGAACACACATCAGAAGGCAGAAATGTAATTGTGAGAAGTATAATGCACTTATCCTATAGGGCACCTGTTTTATACCAATGATGTATGCTTTTTTTTTTTAGCAAGAGTGTTGCTCACTTACAAAGCTGCAGGATGCAGTCTGGTGTGCTGTCAATCACTCATAGCTGGTGGCTTCCGCTTCCTTCCCCCCTGCACTACCACAATGCCAAAAGCTATACCGGCCACAATTAACTACTGAACAAGCCAAAGGACTGTTTCGCAAAAAATGTTGTACACCTTTACAGTGCAACAATTTCAAAGTACCAGTGGAACTTTTAAAAAATCTCAAATATTTTCCTATTTTTACTTTTAATGTGTTACTTTGAAGTATACTAAAAAAACAAAACTTCATGTTGACAAATCTGGCCTGAGTTCTTCCTTTCTTCCTCCTATTCCCAGTCATGTCTGATAAATACTACTTGAGACCTATAGGAGGAGTAGAGTAAGAAAGAAAGGAAGATAAAGGCAATAATGTTAAATTTTGTGTTGCTCAACTCAATATTTATTTTCACTCCTTTATGCAAACAACTTCAGGTGTTGGCTCAATTAAGGGTTCCACAGTTTGCACCAGTTCCAGATCTGGTGGAGATTGTCTGCAGGCATACAGTTTGTATGTACATAAGATCTTTCACAGGTTCTGACAACTTATGTTGGAAACAGGAGTGGGGGCCAGAGGGCACAATTCTACTACCTCCCCCCCCCAGTATAGAAACTGTACCTATGCTCTGTTTGCACTGTAATCCTAAAGAGAGTTATACCCTTCTGAGCTCACTGAAGACAGTGGGCTTATAGAGGGAACTCCACTTATGATGGCACTGTTAGCAGCTAAGCTGTAAGGGTGTGAGAACACTCACTGAGAGGTAGTGGATTATTAGCCTAGTATTAGCCATCCCTGTGACAGTATATTTAGGGAACAAAGCTGGTTTGCCACCTGCCCGATCTAGCTTAACAGTAGGTTAGTCAGCCTGTAATTTAGGATGCATTCATTTTCATAACTCTCATTTTAACAATTAGTTTTTCCTCTGACAGAAACGCTGAAAAGCAGCTGTTTCATCACCCACCTAGCCCCTCAGGAAATCTGAATTCCTTAAAGTTAGACGCTTTATTCTTAGATTTCATAATGAAATATAGAAATGATATATGAGAGGGAGAGGCTTTCTCTTTTAGACATACTTTCCTTTTAGACATTCATCTCATCTCCCTCTTCCCTCTCCCCTCTCCCCTCCATTTTTGGCAAAGTTATTTCATGTCATCTGCATCTGCAAAGAATTGCAGAGGCAGTTGCCCCTTAGCAAATCCAGGTGCAAAATTCTTAAACTCCAGCAGTTAAATTCCCTCCCCATCTTTCTCCATAATTCAGAAATATTATTACCAAGGAGTGTTTTTTTCAGTAATACTTGTTGAGTGAAGATCAGCTGCTTTCCAAGAACTCCATGAACAGCAAATTCAGAAAACCTGTGTCTTTGCGTAATCATGGTAAACAGAAACATGTTTCCACAAGAATGTGTGACTCTTTCCATATCACAAAGTCATGTCCTCTCTGTCACAATGTATACAAATACTCTGATCATGTGTTTCACCACCTCTCTCTCCAGTGGATGCTGAGAATGTAGAAAGGGGTTATAGAGATTTGCAATGTGGTACAGTAAGTCAGTGTGTGCAGGAAGTAAGTGGCATGTAACTTGTCCATTTTTTTTGTTTCTTTGTTTATTTGAAAACAGCAAGGCTGCAAATTAAATCACAAAGATGGCAAGAGAGGAGTATACTTGTATCTTTTCTCTTGTGGTACAAAAAGCAGCTGGAGTGATTTGTGCGGGAATGGCTGGATGAGTGGAAAAGGTTAACAAAGTCTAATTTCTTCCACAAGATGATTTTCCAATTAACT